AGGTGTTCAGAATGGTTTGATCCCTATCCAGCTGAATTCCTGAGAGGAGACGAAATCCAGTTCTCCTACTCCTCCGCCATCTTGCTCCGCCCCCGGAATTGATAGGACTTTAGATCTCTGAATCTAGGCCCATGGTTCTCAAATTTAACAAGGGAGAGTATCGAGAGCTTGGTAAGCAGAGCTTCCTGAACCCCATTCCCAGAAATCTGATTTGATAGGTCAGAGTAGAGTGCATTATTTTTATTTCCAATTATGCTTTTGTTGACTCTACCTCCAAAAGAGGTCCAGATGTTACCACTTCTCATCCTCTCCATTGGTATAACCCCAGCCTAAAAGCTATTATCTCTTAACTGAAATATTTGAATACCTTTGGCCTTTCTGATGCTATGCTTCTTTATCACTCCTCCATTTAAATACTTCTAAAGGCTTTCTATTGCAAATAAAATCCAATTCTTTCTCACTTTCAAAAAGGCCCAGAGTAGTATGGTAGCTTCAGCCTGAGTCCATAACAGCTCTTCCTACCATGTACCCTAATTTGCTACTCCCCCATCAGATTGGCTTTTTGACATGACACGTCCATTTCTGCTCAGCATCCTTGGGCTTGCCTCCCTTCCATGGCATGCTTTTGCTTTAGGTTGTGGCACAAATCCCTCTCTGTAGTTCAAGTATGCACTGAAACATCACCTCAAATGAATTCTCATAATTGTTCACCCTGGCCCACGTGCCTCGCCTCTTTTCTCTTGTCCATTTCCTGACTTGTACTACTTTTTTTTCATGTTTACTGTCTATGTACCTTCACTACACTGTCAACCCCATGAAAGCAGGACCTTGATTTATCTTGCTTACTGCTATAAACAGTGATTACAATAGTAGACAGTAGGCTTTCAGTTCGTATATGCATACACATATATGTATAGATGAATGGATATAACAGCAAATAAAGATTACAATGTTTTTATGCCTTTGTAAACTTGTCCAGAACTTCTGAAAATATGGTACTCACAACAGAACACTATCAGTAACCCCTTTCTAGACACTGCGATTCTTTAATGTGGTTCAGTAACTCCTCAGTTTCTTTAGTGATCACACAGTATGTGTAACTAGTCCTGTTGTGTGCTTTTTAACATGCTTTTCTCATCCTTGCTCTGATTATGCGATTGTTACTTGCTTATCTGTTTGGTGTTCTATGAATCTTTTAAAGATGTTATTAATATCATTGAAAACTATGAGTCCCAGAAATGTTGGGTTATTTACGCCAGAGAACATGGTTAGCCAGTGGCCGTGTTGGGCTCAGTGTACAGATTGCTTGCGTTTTATTCCAGTTCTCTTTCCACTACAGTGTATGGCCTCTCCATCTTAGCTCACAGAATGTCACCAAGCGTCCGTGACACTGCCTGTCATAGGCAGAAGCCACGTGTGCAGCCTCCAGCCTTCTCCCTAATTTCATGATCTTCACTTTCACTTCCAGATTCTTAGAAGATGGAAGAGCAGGGGTTAAATGCTGACCTTCCTTTGACACGGGTAGGCACAGAAGGAAGAAATAACTTGGAATTTCTGAACCCGTCTCTTGCCTCTCCACTGTAACTTAGGGCCCCTATCACTTAGGGCCTTACCCTGAGTGAGGTCTGAGGGTTTGTGTGAGCCACTGGTTTGGTGGCACCTGCTAGAGGGAGAGCCAATGCCTGGGATGACTCAGCGTTTTCTTCTTCCCCACTTCCTTCAGGATTATTTCAGATTCTGAGGTGGAATGAACAAAAAGTTAAGGATCAATGTTCTACGCTGAAGATTATTTCCAGAGATGGAAACTGACTAAAAACAGTTTCCTAGGTCTTAACTGCAGTGCCTTCTGACAGCCCTAGTGGTCTGAGAGTGTTCATTTGTGATGTGAGATTTGAACGCACTTACCTGTCAGAGAAGATGACTTGCTGCTCTCAGATTCATCATCTTCATTTTCAGCATGAGATTCTGAAAGAATAGGAAAAGAAGATTTGTTAGCAGAACTAGGTTTCTAGAACCTACACACCAGAAACTCTTTCCCTTGCACTCACAAGAAAGTGATGATGTTCGGCATGGGGTAACTATGAAGCATGGACATTTGGCTCATTTTCTAAGCTCCAGGTTTGTCTTACGGGACTGTGACTGTGCCATGTGAAGGAAGAGGCAGAGTTTCCATGATACAATGAAGAGCTCCTTATGTTCCTGCTTATATAATTCAAGGAATAATCAAATTCGTTAATCAAGGCTTTTCTGCAATAGCATTTCTCATTGTGAGGAAAGAATGTACACAGCTCTATAATGTTTGGTAGTCTTTCAGCAACCACAAAATGATCCCAGAGGAATGTTCCAAGTATTGGGAATACACTCATGTATATATTGTACTCTAGAGTAGGGGTCAGGAAACTCTGGCCTATAGGCCAAGGTCAGTTCAACACCAGTTTTTTGGTCAATAAAGCTTTATTGGGACACATCCACAGTCATTTTGTACTGATTATCTATTGCTAATTTTATGCCACAGCATCAGATTTGAGTCACTGTGACAGAGAAAGTTTGGTCCAAAAAACTTAAAATATTGACTCTCTTGACCCTTCAAAGAGAGAGTGTGCCGACCCATGCTTCAGAGAGAAAGACACACTTATGTTCCACCAATGTTCCCCAGATTCCCTAGGTACTCCTTTAACAAAGACAGTGTAGGTTCTCAGAGATTTATCCCTTGAGCCAAGCCACAGCTAAGCAGGAGACAGTGGATTTTTTTTTTTTTCTATTGAACATTTTACATGTGGGAATAACTCTGGAGTCCACAGACTATGGCCAGAGTAGCACAGATTAGCTAAAGACTGTCCCTGAATTTACTAGAGCTCCAGCACCATTTATGCATTTCACAAGTATTTACTGAGCACTTATTATGTGTTAGATGCCATTTCCATAGTTGGGGCTCTCTTCATGAACAAAGCAGACAAAGCTCCATGCTTCATGGAATTTACATTTTAGCAGAGGGAGATATAATACAGCGAATAAGAAATGTTAAGGGATGATGGAAGGTGACAGTTGCTGAGGGAAGAACAAGATGGGTAGGAGTACAAAGTGATTTTGGATGCTGCCACATGGACTGGGGGGGCCCGGGGCCTTTTGCCATCTTATATAAGTTCGTCAGGCAAAGAAAGTACTAAAGATGTGGATAGTTTGTTCTCCCCTTGCAAATAGAAATAAGAAGACAGAGATTGTATAAGAGAGCGCATAAGAGAGCAGATAAAGAGTAAGTTAGTAGTCCTTTGGCCCAAGATACTCACTTAAACTCAGCAGGCTTCTGGAATTGATGAAATGGTCCATAAATACTTTGCCTACCACTTGAGTTTTCTCAGTGAGATCGCCAGCCAGGTTTTCAGTCTTATTCACAATGACGTTCACTTTTTTCCCTATTGTTTTGAACTCTTGCTTATCTAACACCTTCTTTTCCTTCAAGTCCTCCAAGAAGCCACCAAACATGGTGCTGGCAATCATCTTTATCTCATTGACTGGATCTTGTGGTGATCTCTTCTCTGTGAGAACAATAGGATTTTAGGAATTGATAGGACTTTAGATCTCTGAATCTAGGCCCATGGGTCTCAAATTTAACAAGGGAGAGTATCTGAGAGCTTGGTAAGCAGAGCTTCCTGAACCCCATTCCCAGAAATCTGATTTGATAGGTCAGGGTGGAGTGCATGAGTCTTTAGTTCTACCAATGTCTCAGGTGATATCAAAACTACTGTTCTGAGGACCACATGCAGAGTACCACCAATCTTCCCCAATCCTATGCTTTTTTACTGGTGGAGAAAGTGAGCCTCCAGGAAGGAAGCAAGTTCATTAAGTAGCTTAGTGATGGCTGCCTCATTTCAGCTTGGTATCATCTGTGATCCCTTCACTTCCTGTCACTTTTCTCAATACCTCTTTTAAAAACACACTATAGTTAATATGGCTCAGTCGTTAAGCATCTGCCTTCGGCTCAGGTGGTGATCCCAGGGTCCTGGGATCGAGCCCCACATCGGGCTCCCTGCACCTTGGGGAAGCTTGCTTCTCCCTCTCCTACTCCCCCTGCTTGTGTTCCCTCTCTCGCTATGTCTCTCTCTGTCAAATAAATAAATAAAATCTTTAAAAAAAAAAACTAACCCAAATGTTTAAAAAAAAAAAAAAAAGTATTACCACCTATGGAAGAATGCTTGTTTCCCTGGCCAGGGCTGGCAGGGCGGGTCTGTATTCTGAGATTGAGAGCACACATTGTGGCTGGTTGGTCACTGCTGGACACGAAAGGTCACACAGAGAGCAGAAATATGGAGGAAATGAAATACACTCTCTTCAACTGGATAGCCCCTCACCCTGAAGAGAACACTTAAGAAATGGTGAGAACACTCAGTCAGTATGAGTTCAAAGGAAAGACTAAAATCACAGGAAAGTTCTGAGAATGTAGGTCCAGATATTTTACACTTCCCTTTTTTTTCTCCAAAAAGCTGTGGCTTCTCAGCCAAAATACTGTGTCTGCTCCACACTTGCTTACTGTGCCCCAAGCTCCCATCCCTCACATTCCCAGAGTAAAACAGTCCTCTCTCATGAGAGCCCCCTTCGGGGGGGCTCTACCTCCTGTGCCACACTCCTTCCTCCTGAGCTGTAACTCCCCCAGAACACGGACCTAAAAGACAGAAAACAGGCACTCACCAGCCATGCTGCTCTGGCTCTCTGCGCAGGAAAGGTAGTGAAAATGAAAGCAGCCTTCTCCCTTTGCTCTCAGTGGACTGGTGTGCTGGTGTTGCCTAAATGGGAAACTCCAGCCTTTCAAATTCTCTTGTCCATGCAGAGATAGAATTTGACTCTTCTTCTGATATGTATCTTACTTCCTTTGGAAAACAGGAAGCAAATCTGTCTTTTCTCTTTACTCTCACACAGTTTCTATGTTCTGTTTTGCAGTCTATTTTGACACAGTTAAGGAGTCAAACTGATCCTCATTCATCTCTGTGCCATCCCTTAGCCACTAATGGCAGAGAGGCCTCACCATGGATGCCCACTCAGCCCCCGAAGTGAGGTGTGAGTTTGCAAGGCTTAAGGGGAGCAGGAAACTCACTGGAGCCCGACAAACAGTGCTGCTCCTGACACTGTTTTTAAAAACCCAGGTAAGTGATCTCTTTCCTTCTCTCTTTCCTGATCTGTGTACTTGTCAGTCCTGGGAAAATGTGCATATTTTGGTTCATTGACTCTTTTACTCAAGATGAGTTTTTTAAACAATAGATGTTTGCTATCAACAATAAACAATTTAATTTTTATGAAATGGAGTAAGATCATCTGCCTTCTTTAATCTCACACCACAAACTAACCACAATTATATGCTTAGCTTACATCAGTGAGAACTTTTGTCCTGTGCTTTTAAAAAGCACTCAGTGTAGTACTGATGTTATTGATGGCCCCCGTCAGGAGTCTCTTTGTATCCTTTGGTCTGACTATAAACTCACCTCTGACTTGGTTTTGCCATTGTGACACAGTAAATGGACCCTGTGCAGCTCTTTGCCAGGTCAGGAGACATGTGGTTCATTTCTCAATCTTGGACACCTGATGGTCCATGTGAACAAGCCCAGGCTAGATTGCTAGAGAATCAGAGAAATCACATGGAGATGCCTACCCTGTGTGCGGGTGATCTCAGACACATGGATAACCCCAGAGACAAAAAGAACCACAGGGCTGACTGATCAACTCTCCCTTCTTCAGTCCCACATTCTACATATAATTTCCCTAAATTATTCATTTTTATTTTCCTGTGCTAATTTTCAGATCTCTCAATAACATGCCTATTTTACCCCTCTATTTTTTGATATACCAAATACAATGTTCTTGACTACCTCTTAAGAAAAATAAGATGTGGGGCGCCTGGGTGGCTCAGTCTGTTAAGCAGCTGCCTTCGGCTCAGGTCGTGATCCCGGGGTCCTGGGATCGAGCCCCGCATCGGGCTCCCTGCTCTGCGGGAAGCCTGCTTCTCCCTCTCCACTCCCCCTGCTTGTGTTCCCTCTC